GCAGAATGTTTTCAACACATCGGTACACAGCTGCCGAATGGCACCGACAGTCTCGCGGCGATGCAGCTGCTGGTATTCCCAAGATTCGAGTCCTCAGTCTCGTATTCAAGCCTGACAAGTGAAATCTGCAGGGCTTGAAGTTGGGACATGTCCAATGGAGGGCAGCATCAAAGTGAGTAGAAATTCTGAAGCGTGGACCCGGACTACTAGACTTGCTCCAAAACACAACACGCCGCCCACTGTTGCAGTCTCACAGAATCGGGGCCAGAGTTCTAGAGTGCCTCTTAAGGAGGTGTTTTCCAGCTGAAGAGCCAGACGTACCGTTAGCCACAGGGACTCCAAAACCGAGACAAGAACCGAGAGAAGACATTTGCTGATGGGCAACCTTCTGGCTGTTCTGGGTGATACCACGAGAGAAGCTCAACAGGTGTCAGAGAAACAACGAGACAATTTGCTGCACTCAAGCATAGTCGGAACTGTGAGCAGGGTGTTGCTGATGTTGCGGCCCGCTCGGGCGCAGCCGTGCGCAGCCGCTTCGAGGGTTCGCGCCTCCCCTCCTTTCACTGGCACGCGAGCTATGTCCGGCCCACCTCAACACGAGGTGGTCCATCAAGACATCCCGACAGCCAAGCGGGAAGCCACCACTCCTGTGAGAACTCATATGGCCAAAGGCGCGCATGGCAAGCGCTCGTCACTATCTGCGATGGATGCAGCGGGAGACGAGATGCCGGCGGCACTGACGCCAAGGCATGAAGAGGTTAAGATTCCTGTTGTGACGGTTGTTAGATATTGTGAGTTGAGCACCTCGTTGAGCCCCTGCAGGTGGTCCAGTAACCCCGGTAGCCCGCAATGCCCGCAGTCACCAAACGAAGCTTCTCTGCAAAAGTGTGCTCGTCAAGTCTACTCATCGACACTGCCGCCACGACACATGGCAGGAGTTCAGTAGGAGTTGAGTTCTGGCAGTTCCGTGCTGGCAAGGTGCTGGTGCCCAAAGAGGCGCTCAAGCCGTCTGTGAGCCCAAAGACAGGCTCAGTGTCTCGGACACAAATGAGAGAGGATCCCGACGGAGAGCGGATTGTTACCAGTGATGCATCTTTAAGCCTTTAAGCTTTTGTGTCACAGCACCAAGGTGGATCGTGGCATGGCTCGGGCTTGCCCGGCTGGCATTCAGACACCTTTTCGAGACATCCGCTCGAGCCGAAATCGAAGCGAAGAGGCGACGCCGATGGAAGCTCCGCCGGCGAAACCTCCGCAGGCGGAAGCTCCGCAGGCACTGCAGGCAATGGAAGCGGCTCAGAGGGCGGCCTTGGAGGAGTTGGAGCTCGAGCCGCTCTTCCGCACCGACCCTATCGAACTAACTTGATACCGTCGCTGACCGAAGAAGTGCGAGGCTAAGCTGCCTGCAAGAGCGTGCCGACGTCTTCTGGCTGTCGGGCAAGCGGGAGGTGGAGGACCGGAGGACCTTGCCACGGCAGATGTCAAACGCTGCGCGCCAGGCCTCCCCAACGGGGGTTTGTAGCGTCGCGGCTTGTAGATGTTCGACCGGCCTCGGGATGGCCTTCGCAGCCTCGCACCTCCACCTATCCTGGGGCCGTGGACCCCTCTGCCCCCCCCCCCACCCCCCACAAAAACAAAAAGCCGGAAATTAGAGCAGAGCGTCGCAGAGCCGGCAACGTGACATCTCGGCAAAGAACTGCATCTGTTGCATTCATGCAGAAGCTTTTCACGCAATGTAATCACGTGTTGGCACCTTCGAAGCCCTTGAACTTCCACTGTGACCCAAGAGAATCGAGAGAAGCTCGGCGCAGGAGACTGCTGCAGACCTCTCTGCGGTCCAGGTCGCCGTGGCAGAGCTCTCGGAGGACTTGCGCACGGAGGCCAGGATGTCCGTCCGCACTCCGCACCATCTACTTCATGACTTGATGACTTGGTGGTTGTTTCGTGCAGCTGCGAAAGTCGTGTCGCCACTGTTGAGCATCATGTCTTACTGTCAGAGCTTTTGAGAGGAAGAAAAGATCATGGACGAACCTCCGCACATGCAAAGCCTACGCCTGAATGCCTAAACCTTCCCTTAAGCCTTATATGTACAACAAGCCGCCTCCATGATTTCGCTCTTTTCCCTTTTGTCAAGCTGACTCCTTGCCGGCTCTTAGACCAGCTGAAGGCGCGGCATGCCATCAGCGGAAAGCAGTCCATGTCGGCCGTGCAGGCCACAGATGTAGTTCACTTGTAGGACTTACTAGTTTGAAGCCACGTGCCCATAGCCTCAAGCATCTTGGCAGACAGAATTTATGGGGTGGGGGTGGTGGGTGGGCGGGGTATGTTTTTGAAGTATGGGAGGTTTCCCAACCCCGCAGAATGTGCCTGGAGCATTATTCGAGATCTGGATCTCTTCCCGACCCCAATAGCACATCATTGGGGTCAGAGGAGGGTTGTACCAGTCCTTTGGGTGACAGGGCGGGGTGGGGGGGGGGGGGATACGGGGTCGGCCATACCCGAGGCATGCTCTTTCCATGGTTTGGTTTAGTGGTTTTTGTTTCATTCTTTCGAAGTTTCCCAAAACTCTATTATTTACTTAACGACTCTCAACCTTCACCCTTGACCCTAAACCGCATAAACATTTAAAACCTGAGGTGGTGAAGCTGTGCAAGCTCGGATTACGAGTGCAGATATTCCGTACCGTCAACATGGCGAGCATGGATGGACCGCACATACCTGGGGTCTGATGAATCCTGCTTGTTTCTGCTGTGCCACTCCTTTTTGCGACAGTCACTGCCACTGTGGCAGTACGCCACAGGGAGTCGGCCCTATTGCCAGCACAAGGGAACGACACTCTTTCTAATAGAGCTGCAATGCTCCGCTTCTGTCCGCAGAGTCACACTTTCCTCAGAGCCCGCGGAGCCGCCTGAAGTTGCCAGGACGACATTCCGAAACCAATGAAGCCATTGAAGGCAATGAAGGCAAGTTATTCTGTACTACGGCGTACTACGGTTTCGGCAGGCCGGGCACCTTGCAGCTGCTGGCGCTGAGGCAGCAGCGGCTGCCCTGAGGCAGCTGGCAGAGGGCAAGTCAGAAAGGACTTTGGGGGCTGAGGGCCTTGCGTAAAGATTTTGTTTGACACGGTTGCTTGTATGGGGCCCAGTACGGGGCAAGGTTCCTGAAAGCAGGCCAGTGCGAGGTCGGAGACTGCCGGAATCTCGATGTCTGGGCTGTGCTGTGCAGGACGGTGCACACGGCTTCGCCACCGGAGGCAGCAGTGCAAGAAAACAAGTTTGCTTTGGGAAGGTCTTGCCGACGACACTTTGTCCAGTTGCTTGAAGTTCTGAGGTGACCGACACCGCTTCCATTCGCCCTCTTTGGGAGGAGCCATCAACGCTGCAGCTCCAGCTCCCAAGGCTTCGTCGTGGGTTGAGTGGGTTGTGGGATGTTGTGGGAGAAGCTTTGCACTGAGGCTTGATGCAGAAGCAGAGCAGCTGGCCTGCCTCCCGATCTCGGCCCTGGCGAGGTCCTTGCAGCTTTGCCTGAAAACAGGTTCTGGGTGCGCCGTGACCTATCCCAGAATTGTTGTTTCCCCCAAGGCAGCTGGGCACCCCCGGCACCTCCGCTTGGTCGCAGAGGTTGACCGCCACGGTGGAGGTAAAACTCCTGCAGGAGGCTCTTCTGTGGTTCGGTGTCATGTGCTCTGGATTTCTGCGACTGTAGATCTCTCAAGTGCAGGTCGCCGACCTCACCTCCACGCTTCAGGAAGAGCGGCGTCAAAGATGCCGGCGATATGACCACTTGATGCAACCTGGCCACCGCTTGATCTTGTAAAGCCGCATCCGGTTACGTTTACTCAGTTTCTCATCGTTGATACAGACTTTCCGAGGGCGGCATCCCAGAACCTCCTGAGCGAGCTCTCGCAGCATGAGAGTGTGCATGTCGCCTGTGTGGCCGAGCCCGTGCCGGCGCTGACTACGGACGAGGTCTTTTCTTCGGTTGTCTGCTGGACAAGTGCTGGACAAGCAAGGCAGCGCTTTGCAGTGCTTTGCTGCAGGTCATTCCGGGTTCACCTCACAGCAAGGGCAGCAACTTGAGCACCGAGACCGTGCTTCCATCTGATGAGATGCGGCAAAGCGACGCAAAAAATTGACATGTCATCCCGCTCTCGGACAACGCTGATCTTCATGCCTCATGTCAAGCATGGCCAGGCGGAGTGCACGCATGACATGTGACCAAGCTACCAGGTGCATGATGTGCATATTCTGGGCATTGTTTTTACACATCCTCAGACTATTCAACCACTTCAACTCGGAGCATCAACAAAGCAGCTTGCAACAAGTGGATGGCCTGATCCGTGATTGCTGCTGAGAGCGCCATGGGCTACGTGGAGCCGGCAAGTTGAGCAAGTTGTCCACCGAATTAGTCCTAATTGCCTAGTGTGGACGCTAACTTCGTTGTCCATGGCCTAAGGTCGCACCGCCTCACATATCGTCCTCACATATCGTCCTGAACTGACATCCGTTGAAGGTGCCATCGCCCGCTTCGGTGAAGTCTGTGGGTTGGGAGGAGGAGATGGGTCGGCACGGAGCTCACAGGTCGGAGAGATCCAAGCAGGCTTAGCAGCTTAGCAGATCTGGAGCAGGTCTTAAGTGCAAGGTGTTGTGGAGATGTGAAGGGGTTCCTGCAAGAACCCGTGGTAATGCTGTTCCAAGGCGGGACGAGATGGAGGACGGTTGGGTCTTCGTAGACCAGTTTAGCCTGAGCCTTATCTGTAGGCCCGGCCAGCATGCAGACTGCTTTCATCAAGGATAGCTCAGCTTGATCAGGTTTACCAGACACAGCTTCTTTCCCCCTGTGGTCTCAGCTTGTCCACCCTTCCCAGATGGGAGCTCAAGCAGCTGTTTCTTCGGAGTCTACGACGGCCCGGCTCCGAGAGCGGCTCCGAGAGCGGCTCTGAAAGCGCTCTGCAGATCTCGGGGAGCTCAGCTCTGCTGCAAGGCCACGGCGGGCGAAGTTGTATGGAGTACGTTATGGAGAACTTGCATGTGCTGGGCCGGCCTGTTTATGACAGAACCATGAGCCCTTAATTCCCCTTTCACCTGGCTCTTCAAGTCGCTGCGCAGGAATTTATTGGCAGAGCTAGAGCAGGCGCCTTCCGGTTGCGCCCCTTCTGCATTGTCGTTGGAGTGTCTAGGGCAGTGTCCAGGGAGTGTAAGAACTGGAAGGAAGAATCGGGGGGCCGTTACCAGCTGTTGTTACTCTTTGGCCTTTCCACAGCCTCGCCACCTGTGAACCTGCAGGATGTGGCCAACGTGCCCGACTGCATGATGCGGGCCTTTGAGGTCACAGACTCCGACATGCAGACGGCAGGCAACGTTCATGAATCTAAAAAATGCGCATGCTGCGCATGCTGCCACATGCTGCCAAAAGTGAGGACTCACAGCTTCCGTTCTGAGCACCAGGCTTGAGTAGCTCCGGCTGCACGGCCTGCTGCTGCCTCCTGCGACAGGAGCACCTGAGTGGTTTTTCCAACCAAAGGCTTTATGGTCAACTGAGGCAAGGTGACGTGCAAGGTTTGGATTTGGGCTCGAGCCTGTCAAGTCCGATCACCCGAACACAGTTCTGATCAGGGCTTTGGCAGCCTTGGGAAGCCTTCGGGAAGCTCGACTTTGGAATGCCCAAACCCGCCGGCCAGGGTGCTCACAAAGTGCCGTGCGTCTTGTTTGGAGATGGGAGATGATTTCGATGTCAGCGTAGCATAGCGCAGCAAGTCTTCCGTTTCTCCCGCCCCCCCCCCCGCCCCTCCATCACTGAGAATTGAAGCCTGCTTTGCTCACCAATATCTGGCAGCCCGTGAATGGCTTGAGCACCCTCAACCACGTCTGACTGATGCTTCTGCTCAGCGCACGCAGCACCACAGTTTGTGTCAGGAGAAGGCGTTTGCGGAGCGGGTGCTATACACCGCGCATATAGGCGAGGCGGTTCTGAAACCGTTGGGAGAGCTCATTGGCCTTTTGAGTCTGAGCTCATTTCCTCTGGGTTCTTAGCTAATTTTCTGGCTGGTTCCCACGCACTTCTGTTCTGGCGGGTTCTCTCTTCTTATCTTTCCCAGAGTTCTTCTGCATTCCGGGGGAGGGGGGAAAAACTCCGAGAGGCGACGCTCGCGCCGTGCTTTGCCCGGTGGCTCAGAGCTCCCGAGCTCCTTTGAGAGTTTTTAAAGGGACCTTCTTGAGCTCCGTGGAGAGCTCTGCTGAGCTCTGCTCTCTTTCCTCACTCAGCCCCGCGCCCCCCACCATCCCCCTCCTTTGTGAGGCCGGAAGGGCTTGGCCGTGCGCCTCACTGGCGCCAGTGACCACAAGGCAAAAAAGAAAGAAGGAACCTGGGCCTAGCATTCTTTGTCTGAATAAAATTGCCTTTGGGCCCAATGTCCGTGGAGAGGCGACCTTCTCGGACGAGGCCCGCCGCGTGGTGGAGGCCGGGGCGCCGCATTGCAGCTCAAGTGTACTGAATCTGCGCGGGTCGCGCAGTCCCCCAGCGCTAGCTCTCCTAGGACCTACTCCAAAAAAGTACACACCGCAGTGCAAGCACCATGAATATGCCCCCCCCACCGTTGAACGTTGCAAGGCAGGCGGAACAATCTACAACGAACGCGTGAACGGAATGCTTGCGATTTCAAGGCCGGCATGAAGCGGACATGGACCGTTGCGAATTCGTGTACTTGTTGGATGCCCTGACCATCTCTGACCACACTGCGCAGGGCCTTTGGTGACTTCCAGCTGAAGGCCTCAGCATCAGGGCTTGTGTGGTTGTCGTTGACCTCTTGGTCGAAGATGTTTTCACGGAAGCACCCGTCTACGGCAGGCTCCCGCTTTCGCGAATGACATCGTCTCAAATGTCTGAGTGCTCAGACTCACAAGTCCTTGATAAAGCGGGTGAGAGCGCACGTTGTGAGCTGGAAGTACTTGCCTTGGATTTGCTGGGCGAAGTCCATCCGTGGTTCAGGTCCCGGAAGTTTCCTCCACACTCGTCTCAGATGGGGCCCGGGAGCCCAGAAGGTGTTCGTCAATGTCAGGCGGAGCATCTGAAACAGGTCCGTTGAACACCGGCGGCTAACAGCATCGACAGTTTAGCAGTAGCTGAGTGACTCAGTGAAGCTTTTCTCAGGACATATTTGTGATCACCGCTTGCGACGGGTCCGGGCCCAGCTAGGAGACACGCGGAAGCTCGGGCAGATCCTCTTATTTTTCACATTTTTTCACAAGAGTTCGCTGTGCCAATCGCTGTGCCGAGGCTGTGGGATGTCATCGAGGACCAAGATGCCGTGAACCTGGCCATCGAAGGGATGCGCCGCGCCGGCCTGCTTAAAGGTCTTTCAACCTCTTTATGTTTCTCACCGTTCTCCCCCCTAGTGACTTAAGAGTTTCCCTCGACCCCAGCCCCCGGCCAGAACAATATACCAACCTCCTCGGAGAAGATGCGGCCGGCGCCGGTCACCAGCTCAGCACGTCACACCCGTTATGGGAGTCATCGCTTTATTTATGGGCATCCTACGGCATCCTGAAACTTGAAGCCCGAAAGCCCGAGCGGCCCGAGCATTCGACGTGGTGTGCGCAGTGCTGGGGTGCTCTCCCTAAACTGCCGCATCATGTGTTTCAGCTTTCGCTCCAAACTGAGTAAGCCGCGGGCCGTCGAACAGGTTGAAGGCACCGAAGCCGGAAGGTGAGGGAACTGCGACCGACAGGTCGCCCTAGAAAAGGGTTCGGATAGGTCGTAACTCCAGAAGCTTCGGGGGATTGTAGGCCTCCATCCCAACCAAGAACCTGCAAGACTTCCTTATCGCGAGGCCTTGAGCCAGTTTCAAAGTTAAAGTCGCGGGGATGCCCTAAGCCCGCAATCTAAACTCTATGAGATGGGCAACAGGGTTGCCCTGTACACCCTGAGGCCACCAGAAGATGCTGGGGCAAATGGTGGCAGGCAACTCAGAGTGCACTTGGCTGAGCCCCAGGCCGCCCTCAGAGCTCTCTCAGAGCTCTCTCAGAGCTCTCTCAGAGCTCTCTCAGAGCTCTCTCAGAGCGCCCTCGTAGAAACGTCCCGCGAGTCATGTGAGTGTGGCCGAGGCGCGGGTTCTCATCGAGGAGGCGCTGGCCAGGACCCGAGAGTGCCAAGTGGAGGCGCTGTATCCAAACGACCGGCGTGATAGGGTCAGGATGGGTCAGGATATGTCACAGGGTCCATGAGATCCTGCGCTGCACTGCGGCACGGCAGTCTGAGATCTAGGAATCTAGCAAAGCTACGGAAGTCTCACGCAGAGAGGCAGGAAGCGTAGACTGGACATGGACCAGAACTTGCAAGGCCCGTGGCACCTCTGACAACGTGACCTGCCTTGTGGCATTGGCCTGAGTTCTGAGTTAGCTTTGGGGGGCTCGTTGTAGTTGCTGCGGTGCTGCGGTGAGGGAGTCGCATCAGAAGCTGAATCTGACTTTCTGAGCTTCAGGTCTTTCCTTAGGCGCTGTGACTCCCTGTGGGAAGGTGGCTTTGGAGGTGGCTTTGGCGGGGGGGGGGGGGGACAGACTTGGGATCGCTCTGAGTGCTGGGAATGACCCACCCGACAACTTAAGCGTCTTCACTTGTGCAGCACAGCGCAAGCGTAGAATGCTAGCGGTCTGGAATCCCTAAGCTGCCAATGTCGAGATAACTTTTTGGCAGGACATTGGAGCTGAGAAGGCACTCTGCTGAGGTTCATTGCAATCTTTGCAGCACATCCTGTCAGATACTCCGCTCGGCACGCATATGTGCAGCTGCTCACTATGTGCCCGTGGAGCAGTAGTATCATGTCACGTAAGTTCAATTAAGTTCACAGCAGTGCCAGCATAGCGTGAGCCAGTCGCTGCACTTGTCGATCGGGCAATTCAGCTCGCAGAGCGTGGTTCCACAGTTCCTGCGCGTGCCGCTGCCAAAATTCGAGCCTCTGATTTGCTTGCATCTTCTTGCCGTGTGTGCGGAGGTGAGCGCTGGGCACTCGTACATGGGGTGAGCTGTGCCTCTCAGTGATAGCCTTTTTTGCATTCTGAGGAGTCTGCTTCAACTGCCCGGAAGCCGAAAGTCCCGGAAGCTGTTTCTGCTCATGCCCCACCCGCAGCATCCTCCAGCATCCGGCAGCTGCAACAGTAGGGTTGCCCAAGACACGAGACTTCATATTGATGCCGCAGTAACCGCAGTAACCACAGCAACCACAGCAACCACCGCAACCACTGCAGACGCGCGAGAAGAGCTCGTGCCAGCACTTCGTACTTCAACTCCATGAGTTCGTGCAAAGACAAGACAACTTGACCCCCAGCACTCCGCACCCAACAACCGAAATGGGGTCTTAGCTTCTGCACCCCCCCTGACGTCGAAGTAGGCATGTCATGAGCCGCGCTCCTCCAAGACATAGGCGCGCGATTGGTCGATCGATGATTGTTTGTGCTTGACGCGGGATGCTATGTGGCATAGTTAAAGGGCATCAGTATCCCCTTCCTTTGAATCCCAAAGTAAATCGGATTCAACCGAAGTGGCCACGCATTTAAGAGATGGAAAACCTGCAAGTGCGCGCATGTGCGCAGCACTGACATCTTCTGGCCTCAAGGCAACATGCATCGCTCGCCCATGGAGCTGCGAGATCTCGTGCAGGCTCAGCTGCCAGCCTAATTTGCAGCCGAATCATGAATGCCATTGTGACTTGGACAAAGGACAAAAAATCAAGGCTCGAGTGCAAGATGTGCAAGAGAGGTCTACAACGACAAGAAAGACAAAGGCCAAGGCCGCCCGGAATCGGGTGCTCGGGGGCAGCTCAGGGCTGCGTAGGCGCTTCCTGGGGATTTCGGGATTTCCGGAGCCGGAAGGGTGTTCGACGCCAAGAAGAGGGTGTTGTTCTATTGAAAGCAGAAGGGCGACCAGTCCGGGTGCTTGCTGAACACTTGCACGCCGTTGAACAGTCTGAAGGTCCAGAGTGCGACTATGGTTTCAAGCTGATCATTATCGGTGATGCTGGAGCAGGCCGGCTAGACTCCAGGCAGCTTCTTAAACGGAAGAGGTTCCTCTCAAGCTTTTCGAGCTTGTGGAGCTATGAGCACGGCGCGTTGGAGGCAAGAGCAGCTTCATGCATCAGTTCCTCGAGGGGAAGTTCCGGAAACAGTCGACGCACACCGCCAGAGCCCCGGGTCTTGGGAGACAGGTGTGTGGACTCCACGTAGTCTGAAGGGGCAGCCGGACGTGCCTGAAGTCTTCTGCCAGGAAAGTGTTATTTTTGCCAGTTCTGGCAACGACTGTAAAAGAGAGAGAGGTAGAGCGTTTGTACGGGTCCTCCTTCGGGGGGGGCTCCTAAGTGCAGGGAAGGGAAGGAAGCGTTTGTACGGAAACCTCGAACCCAAGCAAACTTGCTTGCCCTAGTCGCTGACTGCAAAAGGTCTGCTGCATCCATGTTGAAGTCGAACAGTTTAGGGAAGTGCAAATTCACCATCGATGCCATCAGCGTCCATGGCAGATTGGTGTTGAGTTCGGCACAAAGATCATTTCCCTGGGGAACCGGCAGATCAAGCTGCAGCCAGGGTCCCAATGTCAGGCCATGATTATACCATGTTGCATGTTTGCCGTGACTCTGGCTGCTGGGTTTGCCCACCAGCATGGAGAAGTTCATGCGTGAAGCTTGGATGGCAGAATGCAACTCGTGCAATCTGCATCCAGGCCTTTCCGCCTACAACACAGAGGGGTGAGCAGCTCTCTTTACTCAGGATTTGGGACACTGCGGGCCAGGCAGGAGACTTAGAGAAGCCGTCTCTCAACCCATTGCGACACGCTGGGAACTGTGACGGGTTTGACCGTTCAGGTTGGAATTGCCAGCATGCGCCGGTATTGAGTTGCCCCAAAGTGGCTCTTAAAGGATGTGGAAGGTAGCTGCAGGGTCAAGACTTCCTTAACTTGGAGTATAGCCCCAATATCACTCCTGCCCAGGAAAGGTATCGTGCCGTGACCCGCTCGTGCGCCAGATTTCGCCAGAGAGGAGTGCTTTCGAGAGGCCTACAAATCAAGGTGAAACAGTGTGCCAGGATGCTCGTGGAAGATGCAGTACTCTTAAGTGCCGGCTCTGGAGTGAGTTTTGTGCTCGAGGCGGCTTCCAGGAGAGTCACATGAGCTCAATGAACTTCATCCTCCTTTGCCTTTCCACTCTCCTTGCTGCCACGGCAGGGGATGGGAATCCCGCCAATGGCAGCTGCCATTTGCAGGTGAGATCGAGCATTTCCGACAATGGCATGGAGCCCCAATCCTTGTCCTTCGGATGTTCCGCGCTTTGTATGTCCGACGACGTCAACATCACAAAGCAAGTCCTGCTCTCAGTGGTTTAGGTCTCAAAGGCCCACCGTTGAAACTACATGGGGTTCCAGAAGCAATCATCCTTGAAAGCCTCGAAGGGAGAATTTGGCAACATCTCGGCCCCTTTGAGACTGATCTCTCGTAACCCTAACAAGCTTTGTTCTGTTAGGGGCCTCCATGTCTTCAAACAGTCCAGGTCGTGATCAGTGGCTTGCCAATCAACTGCTCCAACATCAGGACCTTCGTGGAAGATAATGCGGACTCTCGTGATTGCCTTTCCCTTACCGACCGCTTGGCTCCCCTTTGCTGCCTGGGCGAGGCCAACCAAACTGTGCTGGTGAACGATACATGTGCCGAATGCGACGCTTGCCTTGTCGATGGCATGTGCATCCACGCCAGTTTGGACAACCCGAGCCTTAACAAGTCGGATTGCTTGGATATTGGTACTTGGTGTCCAGACAACGGCACGGACTCACAGGCTTTGGCCCAAGACAAGACGGTGAAGGAGTTGAAGGAGTTGCTGGTGGAGCGTGCATCGATGGCATCGATGGCCGAAGCCGAGGAGCTTGAGGAAGTGAAGGGGCTGGACTCGTCCATCACTGGCAAGGACGTTTGCGGTCATGGATATACTACCAGGCGCCGCGGACGCGCTCCACTCAAAGAGTACCAAGCAGTTTCTTGGAGTGGAAAAACGCAAAGCGACGCGTGGCACAGCCCCAAACTTGTGAACTTTGCGAAAACTTTGTTAACTTGACCTCAGGTTA